GCAGGTCAACTCAGGCATGCCTTGAGGGCACATAAAAATTAAGTAGGGACTAAAAGAGATGCCTATTTTTCCTCTTGTTGTTTTTGCAAAACTCAATTGTCAAATTCTCTCACTCATTTGAAATGTATTCTTAAGTACTGGAATTTGTTTGACCCTCATGCATTGAGAAAGAGTGGTTTAACAGTCTTCTACACCAGCATCTGGGCTGCCTACACCCTAGAGACACAGTAGAATGCAGAGGGAAGCACTGATTATGATGCTACTTTGCAACTAGAGTTGTACTGTAAGAGAGAAGGGAAATGGTTAGAATCACCTTATATATAACGCAGACTTTCTCTGCATTAAGAGACATCCTCCACTGTTTGGACAAGTGCTGTCCCAAGACTTACCCTGTTTTAAATTTTCCCAAGTCACAGTCCTGCAAAATGTAGATGATATTCTGTTCACTAATGATTTTCTCCTTGATAGAGAAACAGATGCCTTGCTATAAGATGTCACCTCACTGGCTAAATTCCTACAGATTTTTCAACAGGTAACACAAACAGATATTAAAGGACTGCCTCTCTTTTGTTAGGATTTCTCTCCAGAACATCTTGCCAGGCCAACCACCATTCTCAGAGATATGCTACCTGAGGTTCTGAAAGAGGAAAGCCCATAGCTAAGTATGGTCCAAGGGTCACAAGATCATAAGGAAGGGGGTCCAGGTGCACAGTCAGAGCAGCTTCCTCCCACTTCTGGTTCACTGCTGCTGGCACTGGATGGGGTTAAATCTAGAGGACACCTTAGACTGAGCACAGAGCAAATAGACAAGGGCATCTTCTTTCCACTTGTTTCTTTTCAAAACGGGGAAAAAAAACTGTTGCAGGTAGACATCTGCAGCAGGGAAGATTGGAGCCTTGGCAAGCTTTCTTCCCTCACTGTTTGGAAAGAAGGCTACTTAGTCTCTTTCTACACCCAAACATGGCCTGCACGCCCACCCTGGAAGTAGTTAACATTAACTTTAACAGCTCGCCCCTTTAGAGGGAATAGTTACACATGGCTATCAAAACAGCAATTTTGGCTATTAGCTGTGGCTATTAAGCAACTGTGGCTGTCAAAGCAACAAGGAGAAGCCAGTATAGTTGGGTATTCCAGTCAGACAAACCATCAGCCTAGGGTCCATCTTAAAACTGCCTTCACTTTCACAGGTGTACAAGGATTTTATTCCTTCTGATTCTTATTACAAGAGATCTCTGTTAACTGACATACACAAAGATTTGACCAGCCCATAATTACAAACCTAAAAACTGTAAAACAATTATAATTCAAATTGGTTAAATGTCTCTGAGTGCACTCCAGTCTCTTAATAATTGTCTTATGTGTGCCTGTCCGTTCAATTTGTGACCAGTTGCAACATATGCAGCTATTTCATTTGAGCTCGACAATTTTTTCTTCTTTTTGATTTGTTTAATTTTTAAAATATTTATGTCTACAACTTAAGTTGGCTCATAGGCAGGTGTCATTATTGTTAAGGACATGCTTCCACCCAGGTTGCTGGCTGACTGAAACGACGTCAAGACTGGCTCTGAAAATGCAGTGCATATTGCTGTCTGTGTACAATAATTTGGAAGTCTCTCACTGGTCGAGAATAATGTGTTAGCTCATCAGTGTTAGCTAAATCAGGGATTTAGCTCAGCAGTTCCACCACCTGCCTCTCAAGCGTAAGGCTCTGAGTTCAATTCCCAGTACCAAAAAAAAAAAAAAGAATAGTGTGTTAATTATGATGTAGTTCTCATAGGTCATCTGAAAAATTTGTTAAGATAATTAAATGAGATCATCTTAAGCACAGGGAACTGCTAGGTTAGACTCCCATTGGTGAATAAAGGATCAGCTGCCTAGAAACATTTATTCCAGTCTTTATTCACTAGTGGGGCCCCAGTAATTTCTGTGGTGTTATGGGTAAAACAATAAAGTTTCCTCATTAAAAGATGCTCCTGATACAAAACTAAAGAGACAAAGGCTCCATATAGCTGTGACACTCATTACTGCTAATTTCATGGTGTACTAAATGTATACAGGTGTTCTAAAATACAAAATGAGGGTTGTTTATACTCAGATGTTTTTCTTTCTCTTGTATTCCTGCTACTTGTGATAAGAGGTACATGTCATGCCAGTAGGAGACCAGCAGGCAAATGATAGTTTTTTAAAAAGCTTATGTGATGTGTATGTTATATATGTGTCACTACACTTGGAGATGCTCAGGCACTAAGTCACGGAGAATGGCACATACTTCTTTGATGACATCCTATTAAATAATAACAAATTGTGTACTAGATGGAAATGACTGACGAAAAAGGCTATTCTATACTAAGAAAGACATTTAAATGTTTCAAAGATAATATCATAATTGCCATGCTGAAATACTATGTGTTGCTCTTGATCTCAAGTTTTCTCTGCAAAACTTTATAATTGTTGTCTGTTAACCCTCTGCAGGGATTCAATGTCTAAAACAACCATAATCAGTAAGAAATAACAGTCCTATGGCTATATTTTATATTTCAAAGTGCTTGAGATGCAGATGAGATTATAATAGTTAAGCTCGCTGCTCCCACTACAACACTGAGATCTTCTCTTCTGGATGTTCAACAACTGAAGTTGGGAGACCAGAACTAGAAAGGTGTCTTAGTCACTTTTCTTGTTGCTGAGACTAAATACCAAACATTCACAGGTTAAGGGAGAAAAGGTTTATTTAGCTCACAGTCTGTATATGTTTCAGTCCATAATTTCCTAGCTCCAAAGCAGGATGGCATGACAGACAGGTACTGAAATGGAGAAATAGTTCATGGTAGGCAGAAAGTAGCAAAGCAACGAGAGTCAACCACAGCTCTTTCTATCCCTTACATCCTATCTAGGCTACTTAGGGCAGGTAGCACTCACATCCTTAATCCTAGCACTGCACCACAAAACAATCCTAGCATCACACATTCTAGATCTAGCCACCTCTGAAAAAGCCCCCTCTATGACTGAATGAGGCTTTGGGGGGACATCTAGATGTAAGCCATGACACAGAGTAAGTGGCATAGGAAGACAACCAATATTTTGGCCCTGGCTCTCCAAGGTCATTGAGGACCTAGGACACGAGGGAACCTTTTCTAAAGGATCCTATAACTTTGGTGACTTACCCAAACTCCTGAGCAGGGAGACTGCTGGACCCTAGAGGACAGGAATCAACAAATGGACAGAGGGTCACCGAAGGGGGAAAAGTCTCCAATGCTTTCAGAGAAAGTAACATGGTCCAGCAAGACCATGACCCATCCTGGTGGCTGACGCTGACACAGGAGCTGACAGGTTCTGTACATGGCTCCAAAAGTAATGCCTGAGGAGACTTAACTGACCTTGATAGACAGCAAGAGATTAATTTTGATAAACATGAGTCTTCCTTTAACTTGGTCTTAAACACAGGTAGAAAAGTATAACCAAAAGAGGTATAAAAACAATAACGTAGTAGTAAAAGCTAAATATAAAAAGGGGCTCCAAACCCTGACCCCTTCTGGCAGTTTACAGCTACACCAGTGCTGACCACTGTCATGGTTCAGTAAGGCAAACAAACAAACAAACAAACAAACTTATGGCTGAAATTATAAAAGCTCAACAAGTGTCTTTAAATTCCTTAGCTAAAATTGTCCTTTGAAACCACTAAACTCTCCATCTTCTTATAGCTAACACTAAAGGAACTTATGACAAGAAATGTCAGACTTATACACAACCTCCATCAGTAGAAGTGTCTAAGAGCCAGCTGGCTATAATCATTATTCCAGTCCCTTAAAAGCAGTGTCTGGACATGGCTCTTTCCCCAAACGACTTTCTGTATTAGTGTTCATGCTTTTTTTTTAATGCATGCTTTAATTTCTTGGAAAATTTGTTTACTTTTGCCTAGAAGCTGCCAAACTCCAAGTGATCATATAGATGGAACCAAAAACAAACATGCCAGACTCCTTTTACTGAGACCCACCCACTAGATCAAACTTGTGAAGGGGGTTCATAACTGTTAAGCTGCAACATGATTTCTATCCAAGGTCCATTTGATTATCTCTCTGTAGAAAGCCCTCAACTTCAGTCTTTCCCTCACAGACCCTTCTCAGCTCAAAGCAGATAGATGAAAACTATGCCCCTTCTCCCTTAACCTTAGTTAAGGATGTCTCTTTAGAGGGGATGATATTATAGACAGTTAAGTAGAAATATTACAGGAAGTTCGACAGGGTTAGACCCTGAGGGAGTCAGTGCAGAAGATGAGAACAAATCAAAACTGTGGCTGGATGGGCTACAGAGTGAGTTCCAGGTCAGTCTCAAGTACATAGTGAGACCCTGTCTCAAA